CGTACGCTGCAGAGCTAAGCCGTTTTGATAACTTACTTATATAGTGACCCCATTGCAGTTTAGCATCTAACATTATACCTAGAAAGACAACTTTATCCACAAGATTCAATTTTTCGTTTCTAACTACAATGTTTGTAACCATCACTCTAACATAAGGTAATGTAAATTTGACACAATTTGTTTTTTCTCATTAAGGAGTAGGTTATTAACAGCAAACCAATCAATTACTTTACATATAGCATTGTTAACATCGTCGTAGGAACATTGGTGCCTTTTAACTTTAAATAATAATGAAGTATCATCAGCAAACAATACTATCTCATGTTTTATACCTCCACGAGGCTAGGTAAGCCATTAATATAAACTAAAAACAAAAATGGGCCTAGAATTGAACCTTATGGGACACCCATGCTAATTGCAGACCCTAATGATCTCGTATCGTTAACATCGACCCTCTGTACCCTACCACGCAAATACGATTTAAGAGGATCGAAGTCACGTTCCGCCACACCATAATGGCGAAGTTTCCTGATAAGTGTACCATAGTGCACACAATCAAAATCCTTGGAAAGGTCACAGAATACACCAATAGCTTCCCATGCATCAAATATATGATTCATCAACTCAACATCAGCATCGGTTGTAGAGCGACCCCGAGTGAAACCAAATTGTTTAGGAGACATTAAGTTATTACTAATGGGTGTCCCAAATTGAACGCAAGATTTAAATTTGCCGCCATTCATGTAGTGAAGTGTTGACAACCAAAAAAAACAAAAACAAATCGACAGCTGAAGGTTAATATATATACATAGGTATAGCTGAAGGAAGGTTAGTAAAAATGGGCAATTTACGTTAGAAGAACGTGTCTTCATTGTTGAACAATATTTCAAAAATAATGAAAGCTTGGCGGCCGCAGTTCGAAAATTTCATACAAAATATGGTCGGAATAGTGTTTTAACTTCGTCAACTGTGAAGAGATTAGTTGAAAAATTTCGGGAGACAGGATCCGTTGGAGACGCCAAACACACTGGTCGTCCGAAAACAAGTCGTTCAAATGTCAATATCGAAGCAGTGCGTGAGAGTGTCGGTGACAATCCAGGAACCTCAATTCGGCGTCGTGGACAAGAACTGCAAATTTCAAGAAGCTCTCTGCAGCGTATACTCTCGAAAGATCTGTGTCTCCATGCTTACAAAATTCAATGAACACAACAACTGAAGCCTAATGACCATGCACAGCGAAGAGAGTTTGTTGAGTGGATTATTGAGCAGCAACAAATGGATGCTGATTTTTCGAGCAAAATCATCCTAAGCGACGAAGCACATTTTCACCTTGATGGGTTTGTTAATCGCCAAAATTGCCGCTTTTGGGGTTCTGAGAACCCACATGTGATTGTTGAAAAACAAATGCATCCACAACGTGTCACTGCTTGGTGTGGTTTTTGGGCTGGAGGCGTAATTGGACCATACTTTTTTGAAAATGAGGCTGGTCAAGCAGTGACTGTTCCTGGTTCACGATATCACGACATGATAACCCAGTTCTTTTTGCCGAAATTGGATGATATTGATGTGGCCAATATGTGGTTCCAACAAGACGGTGCCACATGCCATACAGCCCGTGAAACACTTCAATTACTCCATGAGACATTTCCAGGTCGTGTGCTCTCTCGTTTCGGTGATCAGAATTGGCCCCCTAGATCGTGTGATTTAACACCATTAGATTTATTTTTATGGGGTTATTTAAAATCACAGGTCTATGTCAACAAACCCACCACCACGTGTGCTTTAAAGGAGGAGATTCAACGTTGCATCAACGAAATTCAGCCACACTTATGCAGAATAGTTATGGAAAATTTCGACAAACGAGTGCGTATGTGTTTGGAAAGCCGCGGAGGCCATTTGCCCGATGTGTTATTCCATAAATAACCCTATCCTATGTACTTTATGATTCAATATAAAAATTACAATCAAAATACTAAAAACTGTGTTTTCTATTAAATTCAAATCTTGCGTTAATTTTGGGACACCCTTCATAAAAATGTGCACACATCTGATTTAGAATAATTTTTTCAAATATTTTACTGAGAGTTGGTACAAGACAAACCACTATCAAAAAGGAAAGATACTTTCTCACCAGATGATGTTGTCAGAGTACCTCTTGAAGCCCGGTGGTCGCATGTGTTGACCTCCTTCACAATCCCCTTTTCACGACACATCGTTGATACATGACCGGGTTTGCCACAAGAAAAGCAAGTCACTGTCGAGGTTTTATCGTTTGCATAACCAAAAGGTTTAGTTTCGGGGACCCCACCAAATTATCGAAATACTAGATCATGATCGCTATGTGTTAAAAAGCACCGAGGGTCTCGACCGCACATTTAAGTTTGCTCATGAAAACCTACGCTTAGTACCTTCTGGTCATGAAGGTTTAATTGAAATAACTTCGAGCATCATGAACAACGACGAGGCCGTGACGGCGCCAGATCATGAGCAATTACAAAATGATTATAACGATAGTTCTGATACTCTGACCGCTGCTTCGGACACTTTAATCGCTAATTCAAACACTCCGACCGTATCTTCTGGCACAGTCACGGTCGACTCTGAAACCCGGGGTCATGATTCCGATGATGAAGGTCATGCAGTTACGTTCGAAGTACAAGCTGAAGTAAATGGCGTGTAGGTGGTATTACGTTGAAAACCTGCTTAATATGTTTGTCTGTGATATTGTATTGTGTTTGTCATGTACCCACCCGATTGATTAAGTATTACGTGTGTTGGTCGAAGGGGCGGTGTTGTCCGGTCCAGTTTCTATAAGACACTGGTCGAAAGGACGCATTTGTCCGGTCCATGATATGTCGCAGATTGGTCGAAAAGACGGTGTTGTCCGGTCCACGCCTCTATAAGGCACTGGTCGAAAGGACGTATTTGTCTGGTCCATTCTGTTGGTTGAAAGGATAATGTTGTCCGGTCCAAACTTTTTATACGATTGGTCGATGGGACGCATTTATCCGGGCCATGGGTTGGTGAATGATTATTGTCTGTTTGATCTGTGCCGTTCAGTTGGCTTGGACGTCGACTTAGAGATATTCTGTGAATTATTTAGGACGTCAGAATGAACGAGCGTAACAGTAATAATCGTTTATTTTGTTGCAGTGAGTTTTCGCTCGAGGACGAGCGATTGTCGGTCCGGCCGGGACGGGGCGGCGCCGCGGCGCGTAGCCAGTGCCATTCAATTTCTTCAATGCGACCACAGACAAGAGTGACTTTTAACTGCCACTCTGGCGGAACGTCATTATTTTTTTGAAAACGGTGGCCATGATCGATCGAGACTCGCTTTCGAACGGACGTGTGTGTCTTACGAAATCTATTTTAATCGCATTAAATTCGTACTATAATTAATTATTATTTGTTGAAAACTGATTAAAGCTCTGTTGATTAAGGCTTCCAGGTCTTATGCCATAGAAATATCTCGCCCTCTTTACTCACACATGATGAACGGATTGGAGAAAGATTCTGGTCACCTATATATAACGTCTGATTTATATGTCAACATAACATGTCCTTTAGTTTCCATAGTCTCAAAGAGAATTTAAGCACTACGTTTACGTTTAATTTAAGCATAGTCTAAGCACTCTTTTTTTGATTACGTTGCAAACGTGGACAAAATGGCGGAAGAAAACATTGTAACTTTTAAAAAACAACTTTTTTTAAATAGGTTAACAAATAATATAATAAGTACATTTCCTATTTTTACATTTCCTATGTATATTTCATATTGAAAAAAGTAGCATGGTCGTTTTTTATTTCATGCTTACTTAGGTTGATTACTTTTCAGCCGCCCTTCGTATTAATTATTTTTCTTAAGGTTATGGGTATTTCAAAATCTATAGAAAATGTTCGAAAGTCGTTAAAAAAAAGCATAAAGTTTTGTGTGAACCACGACAGCATTTCGCCATAAACACAGTCCAGCTCTACACTTTAGTGGATACCGGATCTCGTTCCGTGATAAAATAAAACGAAATTCAAGAGAAAAACAAAACACACTTTAATATGAAAAAGATAGTTCTTACGCTAACATTTAATATTTCATGCACTTTTCTAATATTCCATTCTTTTGTTATTTTTAAAATTTGTTTAACGTTTTTTATAGTACGTTAAATTACTTTACAAATTTTTACTTGTTGCATAAGTAATACTTAATTAATTTATTTTTGGGGTCATTTAGACTGCGAACTGAAAGCTACGATTTGATTCACATTCAACGATATGAAAGATATAAAAAGATTGCACAAAATAGATATAGATAGGTACAAATCAAAACGTTAGTCCTTCGTTGCCAGAAAATGTTCGGAAGATTCTAAACAGTGAAAATTAGTGAATAAAAAATATTAGAAATTTCAAGCAAACAGTCAATTAACAAACATTGTAGGCTCCTATAAAACCCACGTAAACTTTACCTCACTGTGAGATAAGTGTTATTATACTTAATATGACTGCTTAGGTCAAATGGAATAAGCACCCTTGCATTGAGATAATGGTAACGGACCAATCACGTGACTTTAATATCACGTGTGATGCAATACGAAATTCTAACCAAAAAAGAAAACCGAAAACCAGCGAATCACACTGCTTAGATCTGCTTGATATGACAATTACTAAATTGAAAAATGAAGGATGGTAGCGGAGCGATGAATCGCACGTAGATAGTGCAGTCGTAGATAGTGATTTACATAATGGAATATGTAACGACAACTATGTCGGTACATAAATAAATAATATAAATATCAAAATGCAAATATCAATTTGTATAATAATGTAAATTGATACTCGGCTTGAGTTTTCAATACAAAAACATCCCTTGTACAAATTTAATTCTGATGAAAAACATTCTTTAAATATTGGGTGTCCCAAAATTTACTCAAGAAGTAATGTTGATAGAAAACACAGGTTTATAATTAAAAATTGTAATTTTTTTATTGATTCATGAAGTACATGGTATAGGGTTATGTGTGGTAAAGATGTCGGGTAAATGGCCGCACTCTTTTCATGAAATTGTCGATGACCATTTTGCATAACTGTGAATCTCGTTGATACAGCGTTCAATTCCTTCACAGTGTACTTCATGGTCAATTAAAAAAATTAAAATCTTCAATTATAAATCTGTGTTTTCTATCAAAATTACTTCTTGAGTAAATTTTGGGACACCTTTGTAATCGTTGGAGAGATATAAATATTCACGAGCTAAACTTAGGTACGTTTCAATATCTATCGAACCTAATTAGAATTTGCACTATTCGTATAAAAACATCCACTGTGGACATGAATAACATGTATCCACCCAAACAATAATCTTCGTCACTCAAGAGCAACGTTTTCATTTGGGCTATCAGTGTGAGTTCCATAGCAAGGCACTGAAAAAAAAAGACAACAATTATAACATATTAAAACAAGAATAATATATTTTTCTTAAAATTGGGAATGTAATTTTTTTTCGGACATAAATCGAGTATATTTGTTTTTTCAAATAAACCAACGTTTCAGGCCCTTTCCAGGTCCCAAAGTCGCGGTTTACTGAGAGTTAAAGTAAAAGTAACAGACTTATAACCACACTGACGAAAACAGAGTTGATACTCTTATGAGTATTTAATATTTAATACGGGGTAAAATCAGTTTTGGCTACCTCGAAATGAAATAAAATTTTTTAGAACAAAGTTTCAAATTACATACACTCTACTCTTTCAAGTAAGATATTAACGTCTCCAAATTTAAAATACTGGTCTTATTAATTTGTTTTAGTTTTTATTAGCTTAATTCGGTTTGGATTTGCTTAATTTTGCATTTGGTTTTAAGTAAGACATGGCTTCTGCTAAAATATGTTTTGCCGTAATGTGGGCATTGTTGTGTTCCGGTTTTGAAGTGCAAAGTTGAAATTACAGGCACATGGAACTTGTCAACTTATGTCTCAGGATGACGGGCGCAGTGGCAGTGCCTTTCAGATCTTTGTGATTTAAAGCTCCGAGTGGCACTGCAACTGTTATGGACAGGCGCGTTAAGCGACACCGCTTAACACCAGGCCCAAGACTAGTTCGTCCCGTCAGTTGGTAACATAAAAAAAATTCGTGTTATTTTTAAATACGAGTTCCTACGTGGTTTCACGTCGAGTGGTGTAAATTAGTGCTGCATCGAAACCGACCGGAAACATTAACGCAGCTCTAACGACTCGAAACATACGAGTCGTTAATGTGTATGGAGCAGATACAATTTATGAACGCTCTGTGCGTTTGCTTGGTGTGCCCGTGGTGCCAAGTGAAACTTTTAACCTGGTACATATGACAACTTTTCAAGAGCGAGCCTTTTTTACGCCTATAAAATCATTGGCAAATAGCTTTAAGATTGTACGAATGAAATTTGTCGATAACTTTTTTATGCTTAAATAGGAGACTTATAAAATTTCACATATACATAATTTGTTTCACGTGGTTGGCTTATGTTTTATGACTTACATTACATGTGATGAAAGCATTTTTAAGATCATTGATCAGTGCTCGCATGTTTCTTTGTTACACGAAGCGTACAAATTATGTATAGATGCTGAGTGCATATTTTGATTAAACAAAGAGTTATTTTATGAAACATTTTGTAAATTTCAATTCGTCTCTATATAACATTCAATTCTAGCAAGCGGCAATATGAATGCCTTTGAAATTAAAAGACACCCCTTTCAGGAATGACGAATGTGATAAAGGAAGGGAAACATTATCAGCAGTTATCAATATCAAAAATATCAATATCAACTGCCTCCGTGGCCGAACGGTTACCATGCCAGACTGCCATGCAGAGGTCCTGGGTTCGATTCCCAGGCCGGGAGAAATATGTGTATGGCCTACATTTATTTCTCTCATGAGTTTGGGTGTAATTTGTGGTTGTCTATGTGTGTGTCCATGGCACCCGCGACACAGGGTTTCCCTGGTGCAGGGTTATGTTGAGTGTGTGCGTTATTAAATAAAAAAAAGTTATAGAAGCAGTAGAGCTGCTTGTGGAAGAGTTCGTCCGGGGAAGAACTGCCACCTTACGTATTTCTGCCGCCAAGCAGTAGTTAAAGCGTTGCGTTCCGTTTTTGAAGGGTGCTGGTGTGAAATTACTGGGATTTATCAACTTATGTCTCAGGGTGACCACCATAGGCACGACTTGTTTGTCCCGTCACTTTGTCTCATAAAAAAAAGTGAATCAGTCGACATAACAAACCAAAGAATCAGTAAGCCGAACGCAAAAGTTTGTCGAATAACATCTATTTACGCAATTTTATTGAAATCGGTTAACGGAAAGTGGTGAAATTCAATAAGCCGTATTCATCCCACAATTTGCCCCCCTTTGAGGTGGAATATTTTCTTCAAATTTGAATGGGACCACTGAAGTACACTCTTTCCGAAGAAAGTATCATAGAAATCGTTAAAAAAAAGTACAGTTGAATTAAGAACCTCCTCCTTTCTTTGAATTCGTTTAGATATTTATCTTAGCACTAAAAACATCATGATATTAAAATTTTTATTGAATTGATATTCAATTATTTTTTATGTGAAACTACTCCACTAGTTTGTTACAATTATTAATACAAAGACAGAACACTTAGAAAAAATTCCTTCGATCCGGCCGGATTCGAACCGACGTCTTCTAGCAAACCGTGTCAGACGCTATGCCAAGTAAGCCACGGAACGAACCAGCGGACCTCACGAATTTTTCTATGTGCTTGTTGTCGTACTTGGTTTTTCAACGACTTTTTAGCCGTAACGCCATCTATGAGAAATCTGTGAAAGTATTTCGTCACCCAGTTAGACACCTTTACAGCTACCAGGCCCGACTAGAGATGTCACTATTCACTCTATTAAAATTTTTATTGAATTGACATTCAATTATTTTTTATGTGAAATTCCTCTACTAGTTTTTTATAATTATTAATACTAATATCGAATACTTAGAAAAAAATCCTTCGATCCGTCAAAAAAGGAAAACACTTACTATAGACATTGCGTTCCCCAATAGTAACGTCCACATAACTTGCAAAGGTCCGTTGAACCATCTTAATATAAACATTAGGGCTGATAACACAAAGGATCCGATGGTTGCAGCACCAGCAGTTATGAATATCAGGTAGAACCTGCGGAAGTCAAACTGAAAAACGAAATGAGTTCATCAACAAATTTAATACACTTTTTTATTATGCGATTAGCAATAAAAGATCACAATCAAAGTAATCTTTGTTTTATAGGTTACTTGAAATCGTCGCTTTGGTTAAACTCTATCGCTCATTCGTAAGGCAGATTCCTTTGAGAAGAATGAGCTAGAAACTCTTGCAAATTTTGTATACGAACCGAAATGTTGTTACAGAAGCATATACATTGCCTCGTAAATGAATTTATGATTTTGACTTTTGACTATCAAGAACAGCTAGTTTTTTTATTCCTCGTATTATTAATGTTTTTTTTTATTTATGTTAAGAAACAAACAGTCGATATACAAAAATATTTTACATTGTGAACATGTAGTGTAGACTTACAGTTTCCTTAATTCAAAATAGGTACAAATCAAACAAAATCTGCTCTAACTAACATAACTAAAAATGGACTGAAATTACAAAAACTAGAAAAATGAAGTAAATTAAATTCATTGAACATAATTACAATAAGGCTTTAATCTTAGTTTTAAATTTCGCCAACGAATTACAAAAAATATCCACATCCATGAACCTGTTGTTATATGTTCGACATGAACGTCTGATAAAACTATTACCAACAAAACGTTTTCGCGATTTCTTAATTGAGAAAAGTGTATTCCTGCGACAAGATCTTTCAATTTTACGGGGTACTCTAATGTTTATACGATTTAACAGAGATGTTGAATCAAATTTGTTATTTAATATCTTATATAAACTAATAATATCTATATAGTCACGACGACTCCTAAGCAATTCAATTTTGTGCCTGGTAGCAGAGTGCTCATAATCAATATAATCATGACCAGTCCTAATATCTAGAGCCCTAACAAATTTCTTTTGCACCCTTTCAATTTTATCGACATGGATGTTGTAGAATGGATGCCAAACAGTACAAGCGAACTCAATTTGACTACGAACAAAGCTATTGTACAAAAGTTTATATGTGAAAGGACTTTTGAACGGTTTACCCATACGTAATATGAGTCCGAGCTGCTTAAAGGATTTTTTAAGCATATTATCTATATGTGGTATGAACGTGAGCTTTGAGTCCATAATAACGCCCAAGTCACGAATCTGTGCAAGTCGAGAAAGAGGTTTACCACAGAGAATGTAATCATATTTTATTGGGTTCAATTTACGAGTAAAAGTAATAACATTGCATTTGTCAGAATTTAAGAATAAATTATTAACATTACAGAATTCCTCAAAGTTCACAATATCACTTTGCAGTTTATCGCAATCACTGCTGTTACGAATAACCTTAAAAATCTTAGTGTCATCTGCATACATTAGTAAATTAGAGAATGTAGTGATGCTAGTGATGTCGTTGATATAAAGAGTAAATAGCAGTGGCCCGAGATGTGAACCTTGAGGAATTCCGGAGGTGATACACTTATAAACAGAAACAAAACCACCATGTGCAACTGCCTGTTGCCTATTTTTAATGTATGACGTAATCCAACGCAAGAGGTCGCCGTGTATACCGAGTCGCCAGAGCTTCGCAAGTAACGTATTATGACAAATTTTGTCAAAAGCTTTAGCGAAATCGGTATACACCGCGTCCACCTGGCAGTCGTCGTCTAATGCATTCAAAATAAATTCCAAAAAGTTTAATAAATTAGTATCAACACTACGCCCTTTATAAAAACCGTGTTATTCAGGAGCAATAAAGCGATGGACTGCTGCAAATATTTGAGTTGTGACCATTTTTTCCAATATTTTACCAAACTGGCAAAGCTTTGAGATAGGACGATATTTTTCAATGTCACCACTGACACTACCTTTTGGAACAGGAGTGATCCACGCTTGCTTCCAAACATCAGGGAATATGCCTTCATTAAGAGACTGTTTGAAGATTAATGTTAAGGGCACAGAAAGAGCTGTCGCGCAATTGCGAATAAGAATAGGATGGATCTCGTCAGGGCCGGCACCTTTAGTCGTATCAATAGATTTCAAAATTTTTAAAACGGCATCTTTAGTAATATTTATACTATGTAAATTAAAAAAGCTAATCATTATTTGTGTTCAACTGAAGGGTGGGATTGGAGCTAGATTGCTCAAAAACAGAATGGAAATGGTCATTAAAACGATCACAGACATCTTGCCCATTACCGAGAGTAACACCTTTATATGTCATTGTCTGCGGAAGACGATTGTTTGAATATAATGATTTTATGTATGTCCAGAAATACTTTGGGTGTTCTTTAATACTTCCCTCAGAATATTGAATGTAATTTCTATAACACTCGGCTTCCAATTTCACGGCGCGTTTTCTGAGTAAATTAAATGTGTTGTAGTCGAGAGGATTACCGTACAGTTTCCAGAGTTTATGGTATTTTTTCTTTTCATTTAATATTTTTTTAATGGATCTACTAAACCATACAGGCAAAGTACCTGATAAAGGGAGCTGCCTAAGAGGAACAAATTTAATCATAAGTGATTTCAGCACAGAATAAAATTTACAGACACATTCTTCAACTGTTAAGCCACTAAATAATACCAACCAGTCAAATTTCTGAAGCTCACAGTTAATCGAGTCAAAATCTGCAGAACGGTAGCTATAAACTAATTTTGTTTTTGATTTTCGGGGAGGGCTATAGTCTGAAATCAAATCAATCTTAAGAGATGGGTGATAATTATCTTCAACCGTAAGCGGAGCATGGCAACGAGTGACACAACAGTCAACATTACTTAAAACATGGTCTAATATTCGATGACTACTATTACGACATGAATTTAATTGTGTAAGGTTAGATAATGCCATAAATTCGCTCAATAATTGAGACTCATAATTACTACTGTAAATCTGTTCAATTTTGTTCGCATCGGATACCGTCCACTCGGCGTGAGGTATATTGTAATCACCTAAAAATAGAAATAAATCACACGGTCGATCATTAATCAATTGACTAGCAATATCAAAGAATGCGCTTAGGTCGTCGCGATGATCGGGGCCGCTCGGAGAGTAAAAACACGCAACGTTCAGGTGCCTCTGGCGGTGGCGCGCGGCCGAGGGGCGGCGCGCTCCCGCCATCGTCATCGAGTCGTGATCGTGAAGCGGCAGAGAGACCCATATGCACTCGGTACTCGCAGCGGGCGGACATGGCCAATCACGGCGCACGGGCTGACAACTCGCGCGCACTGCGATTAGCACACCTCCGCCGGCTACGCACCCGCTGGCTGCAGCCGATCGATCGCAACGAAATACCGTATACCTACTATCAAAATATTCGTGGTCGTAGAAGTCTGACGTTAACCAGCTTTCTGAGATGCAAAGCATAATTATTTATAATTACATTAGATAAGAAACCGTGACTTTTAGTACGAAGACCCCGAACGTTCTGATAATATCCACGCAACTTAGCAAGCATTTTTAACTAATATGTAACACATCGTATGTGAATAAATGAACGGTCTGTCGCAGGTAGTACGTAAAATAATTTAAGAATAAATTATAAGTAATTTTATTGGTTGGCATCGACAACAACAGGCACAAAGTATGCGGATAGATACAGACGGATGGCGAGAAAAAGCAATTAAAACTAAACAATTTATAACGTTGCAAATACGTAGGTGTTAAACTTTCAAATAAAAGTAGGCAAAGAAACAAAAACAGAAACAGAACATGAGCGCATGTTTGTGTAAGCTTATTACATCTATAGGTTAGTATTAATAAGAAATTAAATATATACAGTCACTTTAGTTTTTCGAAGTCCTCATTTTTTATGATAAGGATCACTCTCGATTTCTTTTCATTTCTCGATTTCTCGATCACTTTTACGCATCAATATTTTTCCATCTCTAATCCAGAGATATTATTATACGTCTATCACTATTTTTCATAAAGAAATCACCATTCTTCTTAACACAAATTACATTTTCATAAATGTACTGTGACGCTAGTGTAAGAATGTTAATCTTTTTAAACTTATCTCTCAAAGACACTCTGGGGCCATATTGTAAATTTCCTAACCGCCCGTTTCTGCAGGACAAAGGTTCTATTGATGTCATTACACTGTGAAAGTAGCTGAAGTAAACCAATCGAGCGGTTTTGACGTCTGAAAGTTAAAAGTCAGTTCTCATGTGTTATATTTTCCCATTAATTTCTCGCAATTCTAAGACAGTAATATTTCTTTCTAAAGTCGAGTTAGCCTAATGGTTCGATCTACTTACTTACCTTTCAAACAGAAGCCGCAGGTTCGAACTCGCACCTCTGAGTTTCTCCGAATTCATGTGCGAAATTTAAATTGAAATTTACCATTTACCATGATGACACTTGTACTTCGAAGAAGGTTTACAGCTCTCGGAAAATGTGTGACGTCCCTAAGCCGCATTGCGCCACACGAAGAATACAATGGAGAAAAAAAATCTTCAGACCTAATCAGTACCGTAGACGGGGTGTCTATCTCCTAATTCTAACAAAGATTATTTTCTTTGTTACAAATTACTTTAAATTATTACGCACGAAATTAGTCGATGTGGTTATGTATGATGTTCTAAAATGTAAAATGATATGGTGTTTACATTTGAACAATAATGTTTTTGGTTTCTGCTTACTATAGTTTATTAACAGCCTCCGTGGCCAAACGGTTGCCACGCCGAACTGTCACGCACCGGGAGACATATTTGTATGATCTATATTTTTTTCTGTCGTGAGTTTGTGTCTGTCCATGGCACCCGCGACACAGGGTTTCCTTAGTGCGGGGCCACGAGTGTGTGCGTGTTATTGTTATTATTATTAAAATGAGTGACCTAGTAATTGGCTGCTCTCTTTTGCAATACTTCATGAAATTGACAAGGACATAAGATAGAGGAATATGGGCAAGTACTCCCACTTATAAAATAAATAAAATATTTATTCATTTTTGTACATTTCTGTATATTTTAATTTCTTTAAACGATCTCACATTTGACGTCAATCAATATCATAAATAAGTAATACAGTGGTATTATTTAAATCACCAACGCAGCGATAAATATTGATAAAACATTATTTATCCTAAAAATCGTTTTCACTTCCCGTAGTGTCAGTGTCTTCTCCTACGTTAATAATTAAACGTTTACCCCCCATTCACACGGCATTGTACTGCACGTTTTTTACAGTATAAATCTTACCGAATAAACAGTGGCGCATGTATTAGATATAGAACCGTTCTCACGGTGTTTGTCCTGCAAAAAAACGCACACAGCTCTATACGTTTATCGAATACGCAACGGACTTGTCAAGCAAATCGAAGGATCTTTAACGTATTCGGTGTGCAGTGGCGCATAGTATTAATGCAGCTCTGTCACACGGCGCGAAGTCACGTTTTTTATCGAATAGTCATCGAACAAGCGGCTTCTTCTAGTATTGAAGAATTCGTATTTAATTTTGGTAACCTCGAATTCTCCATACGTGTTAAAAAATTGTCAAAACTATCTACTGACATCCGAAAGTAATTGAAAATTTTGTTTCATCATTTCTCATAATTTCGTACAATATTTCAAAGCGTACAAACATACGCACTGCTTCTTAATTTGTTGGATAAACGCAATACCTTCTGGTCTTCCGCCGGCAAAGCCGTTGACGGCATCTACGCCAATATAAAAGTGCAAAAAAGCGTGGATCCATCAGAGACGTATTCAGGGCGATTGCTGTGTGAATACTGGGGCTGTCCGTCTTTTAAACGCATGACTGTTCATCACCCCGCTATCTATCCGTTTATAATCGAATACGTTCAGGATAATGCCGTGTGAACCAAAGCTTACGCGTAATAAGCCGAGTCACAGACTAAGAAAGTACCAGTCCATAGAAAGCCAAAGTTGCAGGTAAAGAGTCACAGATAAGTAGCAAATAGAGAAAACCACACGCGTCCGCACCGCACGGATTTGAAAGCCGACTAATTTATTTTGCCATTATGAATGCGGCTTTAGTGGCTTATTTCTACCCTACGACGCTAACTTAAATAGACTTTAAAACTTTAAAAAAAAACTGACAAAAAAGAGTGCTAAAAAAACCGACGTCAAAAGTCATTCATCCCCTAGTTTGCACTCTTAGAGGTGGAATATTTTCTTCAAATTGAATTGGGATTACTACTGAGGTACCCTCTTTCCAACAAAAAAAATCATCATCAAACGGTTCACAAACCGGAGTCATCGCGTAACATACATACATAAAGAGTAACCTTTAAAATTTCTTGCTCATTCTTCTCAGGGGAATCTTTAGTATTGTTTAGTAGCAGTAGAGCTCCTTGTGAGAGTTCGTCCAGGGTAGTACTGCCACCTTACCTATTTCTGCCGCCAAACAGTAATTTCCGCATTACTATGTTCTGGTTTTAAAAGGTAAGGGTGCTGGTGAAATTATAGGCACATGGGACTTGTCAACTTACGTCTCAGAGTGCGGGCGAAAAAATAATAAACCTTATTATTATAGCAAAGATAAGTGTTTTGATCATCAACCAAGTCTCATCCGTAACGTTCATGAAAAACGAAATGTCTGGTGTCGACTGTAGACCAATATGTGGCGACCCCGTTTTTGAAGAAATAAGCGTTGTTTATACTTATTTCCTATTTATTTAGATTTCTGAGCTGATCCCCAACTGACCATTTGGTTCTTAGTAGATAAGCGTGAAGAAAGTGTTAAACAAAGTTAACCCTTAACTTGTGAACTTATTATTATTTTGATATGATTTCCTCATTCTATCATTAGTGAATGACATTTTAAGAAACTTATAAGTAAATTTGAAATTTTGACGTATAAGCTGGAATTCCTTTCTGTTGAATGCTTAAAATGGCTCCCAAAACCAAAAGGTTGGCTAGAGGGTCAGGTATATTAAGGAAGCGATTGCACTTATTTAAAGTTAAATATGCCTGTTTCACATCTTGTGAAAGTATCAGTTATGGCTATGTCTGTAAAGCACAAGCACAACGTAATTATGCAGAGGACGAGTTCTTTGACGTTTGGATGAAGTCATCAAATGCAGTAAAAATTTGCAAGTCCGCTGTTGCTTTAAGTATATTTAAAAGTTTACAGTGTCCAGTTAAAGTGCAACCGGCGGCGTTACTACTATAGTACAATACAAAAACGGTTAAGTAAATTTATCAGACAGGTCTAAGCAGCCGTTCTCACCAGAACTCAACTCTTAGAAATAAGTTGATGGTACCGATGTTTGTCTCACAAACTAAAAAATGGTCGAGGTAGTCATTATTCGAGAGCAACTCTTATCGCGATGCAGAATTTAAATAAAATGGATCAATGCCATCTAGCGGATGTTTAGGGAACTACAGTATGCGCAATGTCGCTTAGGATGCGTACAGATCTGGCGAATGCGTCCGCAGCCGCACCACGAATGCGCCTGATGGCGAAAAGCTCGCGAGCTGCACACGTGCATTACGTAGTGCGATCTATTCGCGAGCAGTTCGCGCGCCGCTCGCGCACGATGGATGGTGCGCGACAGATGTGTTTTTGCCTTGCGAGAGATGTGATTGATTACCAATGGTCGGAAAAGGTATAGATACATATATAGATATAGCTACAAGGAGCAACATAGATTTGTTAAAACCACTAAATATTAAAAAAATATATGTGGCACACCTTTTTCCGACCATTGGTGATTGCACAAGTACAGCGCGCAGCGCGCTTGCAGCGCATTTGCCAGATTTGTACGCATCCATAGAGAAGACCATTGTCCACGTTTACTAAATATAATATATTTAATAACTAAATAACCTTACCCTGGAAGTGGCGAGGAACACATGTACAGTACCAGAAACGCAAACAATTGTTAAGATACACATAATAATGTACGTCTTGAATTTTGCTGTCAAAAATGATGTCATAATGCTTGCCAGCATCGACTGAAACAAAATCAAATGTGTAAATATTTGCTCACCGTTTCAGCATTGGAGTTTCGCATAGTGCGGTCTACCCATTATTTAAAAAGATTAAAAATAGCAACTTACAATAATAAGTAAACATATGAAATTTACTGGGATTTTTCGAGTACGTGGTATTAGGAACATCGCAAAGTGCATACCCAACATTGCTCCGCTGTGAATAAATAGAAACATGTTATACGTTATATCAGTTACCTGTACGCCGATAAGTTGAATGCTATTTATCTTTTAAATGTGTATACCACGACTATACAACCTAACGTAGATAAGTATTAATAATATAAAAATTATAAGTCCACTGAGGGTGTGTTATTTCTGCCCAGGCTTAATGTCTTCGAAAAATTTGGAGTCTTCTTCGATATGTAGGTTTCCTGACGTAATATGTCGTCATCGTCAAAGGAAGTGATAAGTCATAATCAAACTTAACTGTCTCCGTGGCTAAACGATTACCACGTTGGTTTGCCACGCAGAGATCCCAGGTTCGATTTCCGGGCCAAGAGTTATATTCCTAAGGCAAAAGGAGTAATATTCCAAGGCCTACATTTATTTCTCTCGTGAGTTTGGATGTAATTTGTGGTTGTCTATGTGTGTATATACATGGCATCCCCGATACAGAGTTTCCCTAGTGCGGGGCCATGAGTGTGTGTCTTATTGTTATTATTATTATTATTATCTAAACTGCACTATCCGAAAATATACAGTAAGTGTCATGTCTCCAACTTATATCTCCACCTTGAGAGATAAAGCATTCTTCGTTGTTTTCTATTGTAATATTTAAATTAGTCATTTCAAAGAGATAAAATGGAATCTTACAATACTATGAAGAATGTGAACATGCCCGCTGCTGACTCAAAATATTTTAAGTATTGTTCCCTGTTAACAAACGAAATTAATGTTGTTAATATTTTTTAAACTTAAACCATATTACGAAGGGTAGCACTTTCAAAAGACAAATTACACACAAAGAGGAGGTAGATAGAGAGATGCTTAGTATAATAAATAGTGCCACTCCATACAAACGTAGCAGCGTGGCTTGTACATATGTGAGCATGCCCGCCCCGCGTCGTCGAGTACGGACGCGTATATTCATTATGCGAGTCCACCGCGAGATTATTCACGCTCTCACGCGCACTCGAGTTGCAGAGCGCCGGGTCGCATGCGCCATTCATTGTAGAATTGAAGAGTTTGCTCCGTGTTTAAAGTAATTTACCGTATTAAATGAATTTATTAGTGTTAAAATGATTTATTTATTTATAAACGCATCGTAATGTATAAATATAAATTCTATTTATCATCATGATCATTTCTTTAGGTTATTTTAGATTATTCTTTCTATTGATCATGATTTTAGGAGCAGTTAGTAGTAGAATTCCTTATGAAAGAGTTCGTCCAGGAAAGTACTGCTACCTAGCGCATTTCTGCCGTTAAGCAGTCATGTGAGCATTATTGTGTTCCAGTTCCAGACACATGAGACTCAACTTATGCCTCAAGGTGACGGGCGTAGTGGCAGTGCCCCTAAGATGATTGCAATTTAAAGCTTTGAGTGACACTGCAACTGTTATGGATAGGTGTGTGGTGTTACCAGGCCCATGACTTGTTCGTCCCATCTCTTCGTATGATAGCAGTGGAAGATTTTAGGGGAGATCTTTGCGCGGTAGTGGGACACAACAGGTTAAGAAAAAACCACTATAATCGAGACAGATATAAAAATGTGTTTATGTAAGTAAGTAAATACTACATTTATCGAGTTCTTAGGTTTTCGCGATTGTTACACATAGGAAATGAAACTATTTTTCCGGATTTAAATCGCGTATATTTGTTTTTTTCAAACAAACCGACGTTTCGGGCCCTTTACAGGTCCCATGGTCACGGTTGACTGGTTTGAAAAAACAAATATATGCGATTTAAATCCGGAAAAATAGTTTCATTTCCTAAATACTACATTTAACAAAGGTTATTTCGATATGGCGCGAGAATACTGTGTTGAACACCTTAATTTTTTTTCAAATTATGTTCTGCGACCCAAAATGACAATGTGACAACCCTACGCTCCGAGGTAGGAATCGTGGCGCCGAACACAGGCATTGGACTAGTCTTATTTGATTATGGACGAGCGGAGTTCTCTGATGGGAGTGGCGGTCGTATGCTCATTAGTTGCGTGGCTTGGTGGGTGCTGAGAGGACCATGACCCCTAGCGGCACAGCAAAGGGGGCGGCGGCGAGCCCTAATCAGTCAAAATTATTTTTTTTACCTAAAATTTGAAAATAAATTTGAGAAAACAATATCCTGAACAACACAAAGATGGCGACGGTAGGTAAACATAAAAACGTAATAGAACCCGAGTAAATATAACAAACTAGTGGAGTAATTGATTATCACTAATTTCAGGTTTCTTACCACGGCATGATTTCTTTTGGTATGTTACATATTTGTATGTCATGCCATCCTCCAGTGAAGTTTTTATTTTGCGGTCGTATTGTTCAACGTCCATAATCACAGTGGCGTTTCCCTTCTCTGCCTTCAGTACTATAATTGTTGTATCAGCCCTAAGTTGTTTTACAGCCATCAATTCCTGAGTACTCATGTATTTTGGTGGTAGACGAGCGTGTCGCAAGGCTACGGCCACGTCAAGACGTAGGTTTTCAGCATCACTAGATGGCACCCCATTACACACTATGGCTTCTTCAACACCACATATGACGTTTTCATATGGAATGCGTGTGAGGATAGGAGCAAAATTTAATCCTTTTTCCAGGGCTTTTATTGTTGGTTTATTCAGTACCTTGTTAGACAGGTTTATAACTGTTTGAGTGCAAATGGTAACGCCACAACAAATCGCGATGAAGTTAGTAGTCGTCGACAGCGCAAGAACCCTCTTGCCTACCCAGACAGATATGTCTGCTCTTAAAGCTGTCATCTGCCGCCGTCCAGTCAACCCGTGACCATGGAGCGTGCAACCGTTCCGAAATATCGGGAAAATAAAAAGAAGTCATACCGTGGTAAGAAACCTGAAATTAGTGATAATCATTTAGCGAATAACTACGAAAGCCTTAAAATCTATATGTATAGTGGAGTAATTTCACACAAAATAATAATTGAATATCAATTCAATAAAAATTTTAATACAATGAATAGCGACATCTCTAGCCAGGGCTGGTAGCTGTAAAGGTATCTAACTGGGTGACGAAATACTTAAGATTTCTCGTAGATGGCGCTACGGCTAAAAAGTTGTTGAAAGACCAAATACAAAGACACGACAACAAATACATAGAAAAATCCGTGAGGTGCTCTGGTTCGTTCCGCGGCTTAGTTAGTATAGCGTCTGGCACGGTATACAAGAAGACGTCGGTTCGAATCCGGCCGGATCGAAGGAATTTTTTCTGAGTGTTCGATCTTTGTGTTAATAATTAGAACCCGAATACTTTTGTATGTAATTGTGAAAATAGAGGGGGCAGCAAATGTGGGGTTGGCCCCGGGTGGCAGAAATGGACGCTACGCCACTGATGCTCGTTGGTACCTACTAGCGACGCCGCTACTCACAGTATGCAGCTTACCTATGCTATCTTCCATCTGATGAAGTGACCCTGACCGTCACAACACAACACAAGACATTTCTTATTATACATAACTTAATAGATAACACAACAGTATTCGCGTAAGTGATTATTTGGCTATTTACAATACATCCCTTTAGGAGAAAAGAGAGTTTATGTACTTTGCATTTTGGCGATTAAGGCACATATCACATTGCGCAGCAGCGGCACGCGGCATGATAGAGAATGTTTGGCAGCGTGCCTACAGAGCCGTAACAATGTAGTATGAAAAGAGCATATTAATATTAATTGCAAAAATTATGATGATGTTACAAAGGAATAAAAGTGGACATGTACAGGTACATTACATAATATTTTTTTTATCTCTCCGTTTTAAAAATACATACTTACGAGCGCTTAGCGAAAAAATTGATGACTATGGTAATTACGAACATAGTAATGGCAATGACCAAATTCGTTCTTATCGATTCGTTTTTAGTGTATGGATCATACTCATCCAAAACTGTTATTTTATGTCCTGCGCCTGTAAAAATATGTTTTGGAATTATTTGTCTATGACTATCACAATATTATTATTAAATTTATAATGGAATTACTTTAATAATACTGTAGACATAGATATAAAAATTATCAACAAACTGACGAAGGTGGGCGACATGTAGCTATAATTATAATCTTATAAAAATGCAACTTAACACTTACAATTTGGTTGTTCGTTTGCATTAATAAATCAACACGCGTGTAACATTCTGGCATTTAATTTCATCATTTCAGTATTATCTAATATCGTAGAATAATACTGCAAACGATGTATTTTTTTATGATTAACTATTAAAACCATTTTGAATGGTTCCAATTATAACTAACAAATAATGGCACAAGAAGACTTAAACTTACCAGGAGCAGCATAAAAAACCCAATAACAGCCTTTTGCATATGATTGTACATTATCAGATGAGTGTTCCCAAAACAACTTAAATTGAGTAGCATTTATTATTGCTTTTAAAGCAGACTTAAAAAAAGGTTTCCTATTTTCAAATTTAAGAACATTGCCATCACTAGGTGATTCTGGAGCTTGTTCATCTAGCTCTACAATTGGATTCAACGGCATAGTTCCAGGGGGATACATAATTGACATTTGCAACTTTTCCACATCTTGTTGAAGATTATGGCTTGGCGACAGCAGTTTAAAAAACCCTTTCTGTATTCGATCTCTTGCCCTTAACTTTGGTGGAGCTGAATGTGGCGGTTGTTCAGTATCAAAAGTGTTTATAATGTGATCGTCTCCATCACCTACATCAAATGCCTCCTGTATTTTTTCTTCTTCTTCGATATTTGGGCAGTTTACATTCGATGATTCTAAAGGCATTACAGACGTTTCTTCGTTCTGTTGATTAGTACTAGCGCGTTGCCACGTTAAGTGCCCACGCAGACTGCACAGAGCTGTGTGGATCCGGTACATTATATCCATTTTTATACTTTTCAAATATATAGATTCTCCTCAGTCATAACCACATATTTTTAGTAATTAATATTTTTAGAAGAAACTTACAAAAATTGTTATCAAAAAATTCATCAGCGTTTTTCTTCGGACATAAACATCAAATTTTGTCAATTTTGAGTAGTTGAAATTGACATTCCACGTTTTTGAAGATACATTGAAAACTTATAGCACATCTATGGTTGAGAGAGTTATTAGTTAAAATATTTGAAACCCTTGAAGATTCTCAAATTTTTGACAAAAATTGGGGTAATAAAAAATTTATTCACTGCTAAAAAATCATGTATATAATAGAATAAATACGAAGAAACAATCGGAGTTTTTTGTCTATTTTTGAAGCTGATTCGTTCGTAGTCAAAGCTTAAATTAAAAATAGTCAATGAATGCTAAAATGAAAACAGGCCCTTACCCTTTAGAAACGGAACCTTCCTTTATTTTTTTCCATCCTACTAAGGTTTTTATAGAACGGAATAATTAGTCTTGTAAAAGGAAATAATAATAATAATAATAACGCACACACTGAACATAGCCCCGCACTAGGGAAACCCTGTGTCGCGGGTGCTATGGACACACACATAGACAACCACAAATTACACCCAAACTCACGAGAGAAATAAAAGTAGGCCATATAAATATTTCTCCCGGCCCGGGAATCGAACCTGGGACCTCTGCGTGGCAGTTCGGCATAGTTTTTACTGTTATGGGTTAATTGTTTTTAGAGGTTTAAGTTGGTCTACTTGTCTACGCCTTAGTCGTAGAATGCGTCGCTTTGTAATTCTACGATCACATAGTAATGTCACTTTGTGAAAACAATGTTGCCTCGTTTATAATATGGTAAATACAATTACTTAGAGCGGTTACACACAGCGACTTTTAGCAGCGGTGCAAACGCGATACAAACGTGATGCAGTATTGATGCAGTCGCTAATCGTCTACCTTTATACACGCGCGCGATTTTAAGCAGAGATGCAAACGCGACGCAAGCGCGCCACTGTATCGACACAAAATTACAAAATATGCAGCAGCAATATTTTATATCCAATCATTTTACGCGGTTGCTAGTGATAACTGTCATGTAATCTCATGGTAGAGGCACTGCGGGCCTACCACAACCTCTTAAAACAATATCACTTTAACCTTACATTGACTTTTCGTACCATGACGCGCTTAAAGTAAGCTTATTATAATGTTAAAACTATGATGTTTTATTGGCAGCTTTGTGAGTATTCATTCACTCAGTACGTACTATAACGCGACTTTAACATTATAGTAATATTGTTCATATGTCAAACTTACCAATCTTAAAATAGTAGCTCGGACCCAGTGGAAACAATGTTTTTTCGAATTTATTGTCCAAGTATTGATTTGCAATGATAAAAAGTTATTTTTTAACCGACTTCAAAAAAGGAGGAGGTTCTCAATTCGACTGTATGTTCTTTTTTTCTTTTTTTTTTGTATGTATGTTACGCGATAACTCCGGTATTTGTGAACCGATTTTCATGATTCTTTTTTTGTTGGAAAGGGGGTACTTCCATAGTGGTCCCATTTCATTTTGAAGGAAATCATCCAACTCTAAGGGTGGTTGTTCACACATGAAGATTCATTTTTATAAATAGCGCCTAACTTTAATTTAGGAGCAATTGCTTTTAGCAACTATTTAGTTGATTTTGCTACTTCTCCAATTCAAGGCGTTTTTCCCTGAATATACTTTGAGTAGTGTCGTAGTGAGAACCTATTTTTATTATCTCCAGTATCGAGTCCTGTATAGTGGCGAACTAGGGGATATTTCAATCAAACTTAGCAAATAGACGTAATTCCACGTACTTTTGAGGTCGGTTTTTTTAGTACTCTGTACTGAGATTATTAAATATATTGTTGAATATATTTATTTACATATATCTCTTCAATATTTTGTCTATTTTTTATGTATAGTATACATAGGGAATAATTTCTCGTTAAAAAAAAATACGCGATGTTTATTTCGTAAAATTATAACAGCGACATCTATATGCTCTTTGGCGACACTAACAGTTAGCACTAGACTATAATACCGAATTCCATAGATTTAGTATATAATTCACAACGTAACTGTCAAGACTCAGCTTGTTTTATTTATTTTTCTTCATGAAAATGCGGGAAAATAATTGAAAACAATGTAATTTTAATCATAGATTTGGGTACCTATATACTAAATCTATGATTTTAATAGTAAAGTACTTACACGTTATCTACGATAAGTCGATTCGGTGCATAAAAAAAGAAAGCGATGGCATTATACAGTTCATATAGCGTTATTTCTTTCCTATTTTTAATAACGTATAGACACTATTGTGAAATCATTCGTCCTTTCAATCACTTTAGCAATAATAGGTTACTTGTTTGACAGGTTTGTCATGGTACGAATATGAGTAAGATTATAATAAGCTTACTTTATTCTTACATTGAAGTAAGATTGTTTTTGGAAAGTTTATGGTAAACCCCCAGAACCACATTGTGATATACTAAGGATATACCAAGTGATTTTATACCTAAGTTATGTTAAGTTTATATCTGTCGCGCAACTATAAACTTTTCAAAACATCGCGCGTCATTTGCATTGACGGGGCATAGATGAATATGATAATGATTTTGTAGAACAGAATGAACATTCCAAATCTGTATAAATAAGTTTCCCGTCTACAATACAGTCAGTCACCTATGAAATGAATAAATAAATAAATAAATAAATAATAATAAACAAATTGATGATTTCACTGCATACAATGCACATATCTGCACTTATAATCTATGACTGCAGTTCATGCGTCCTTATCGCACTCGTTACAGGAATAATTTGTTATGTCTATCTTCAATTAACTACTGTTATTTATTAAAATAAACAGAAAAATTAATAAAATAAAATATATTTAGCAATAATGTAAATATTTTTGCTAACTAATATCGGGTGGGTGATTCCTTGTGTTTTATTTAATTTAACATGGTAATTAGTGCATTTTCTAAGTAAATACGACGGCATTTTTCTGAAAATGACTGATGTGATATGAATTTTACAAATGTCATATTCGTCTCTTTGCTCTTAGACTATTTTTTGTCTTTGCTCCAAGCGGATTGATTGCAAAACCGGTCAATTGACTAGTTTTCGAATCTTCACTACACGGACATTACATAATAACCTTTTTTTTCCATCCTCTAAGATAAGATCACTGGATATACTAAAAAAATATTACATTATTTTATTTCGTCAAAAATTGGCAACACAATATATCATTTCTGTTTAACTAATTGAAACTTTATGGTTTTCATCCTTTGTCTGTTCTGAGAAATAATTTATTTAGCGACAACAAAAATCCGACTTTACTTCAAGTTTTGACGTGCTAGAAAAAACGTAGATTCTCCGTCGAAGAGATTCATTTAAAAATAAATATCTTGCTGCTACCGGAACGTTGAATTATTAAACGTTATTGACTAATATTAACTGACAACATTAATGGAAACTGACATTGGCCCAAGCCTAGTGGCCGCCATTAAGGAAATAGAATAGAATAAACGTAGATTCAGCGAAGCAGTCTTTGCAGCGAAGTTATTTTCTATCCTTTTGGCTTCAGGTGTTTAACTGCGTCTAGTGACATGGATTCCCTATAAAACCTAAATTTAAGTGCAATACAAGTTAATAATGATATATATTTCTTGCCTGCATCTAAATGTAGATACGAGTACGGTATCCTGTACTATACCTTTATGCATGAAAACAATTTATTTTTATGTGAAACATGGTATGTGAATAAGCGATTGTAGTACTTGTAAGGATTAGATAGAAAGGCCACGTTTAGGCCTAACAACACGCAATTATGTTATTTAGTATTAGGATGCAATAGTTACTAATACAAGTTGATTAAACCTGCATAAGAAATCGAAAACGAAAATGACTATATCTTCACATGGCAACCTAAGACAGGAAACAGGCATTGAAAATGATTTTGAATTAAATAATGTAAAGTCGGAAAAGGTCGAAGAAGATCACTCAAGTAAGTATTCGAGCATTTGTCTACGAGCAATGGTACAATTTTATGAATATTGCGCATGGCTAGTTTAGCGAAAGAGCAAATTTTAAGACGTTATTGTACTTATGAACACATTCAACTTTTGCTGCAGGACTCTCAAATTGTGAAAATAAAATTATTAAAAAAAATTAAACCGTGGCCTCTGCTTGAGAGATGTTAGGTCAAACCTAACATCTCTCAAGCAGAGGCCGTAGTTTCCGTTCCGGGCTCGCATTTCTGAATTTGTGTGCAAAATTTATTTTGACATTTACCGTGACCTTTTCGACGAAGGAAAACATTTAACGGGACCGCACGTCGAAGAAGGTTTACAAACCTCGTAAAATTTGAAAAGTCACCGTCCCACCTTGGGTCAGCGTGGCGGTCTATGGCCTAAACCGTCGCGTCCGAGGAGACCCATACCCAACAGTAGAACGTATAAATTGATATGAAATTTTATTTTATCTTTAGTTCAGACAATAATGTCCATAAACAGGTTATTTACAATTTTCATAGGAACTACACTACGTAAGTGAAAAGATTATATGTTTATGAAGAATGTACAAGAATAATGGTATTTGTCAATAAAATGTTTCAAATGAAATGGCGCATAAGAGTGGAATCGTACCATCCAACTACGGTCTTTAGGATTTTGTTGCGCTGGCCCAAAATCTGCAGAGCAGCGAGGTCGTCTTTTTGAACATGA